ACATCTCCGAGTCAATGATCGATCGCAATATTCATCATATGAAAATGTGGATTATGAGGTCAGAGGATGTTACACCTAAACAACAAATTAATTTTATGAGCCAGACGTTCATTATTTATGGGTTTTTGTTCGGCGTCTACTCACGTGCATATGTAAATACAGTTGAGTAACTAATTATATGAATAAAGCGGTTCTTTTTTATAATACGTGGCAAACGAGCATGCGGCTCACCTGATGGCGAGTGAATACCGCCGCCCATGATCACCCGCAACACCAGAGGCATTACAGGTGTGCTGCCAAGTTTTCTTGAAGGTTTTGACGTCGTATCGGTTCGGAAATACTTATTAATTAAAAGTGATTTTTAAAAACATTCTCTTGAAAATTTTAACTATAAAGAACTAGCTGTCCAAACTAATAGTTTTTCTTCAGAAGAGATAAAAATTACAGCTCGAATAGGAACAGCTTGTATAGGGAAAAGAGAAATGATACTTTTACGTTTTTCAAACTATTTTTTTTTTTTTATTATTATCTTTATTTGGTCTCCTAGCAATTGTTACACTGCTAAGATTTAATATTAAAATTACTGTCTATTTATAATTAGTGTACAATCATTTTAAAGGAAACACAGTATGCTAATTAACAAATAAATAGTAATACGGTATAACAAACTCGTGTCGTATTTGACATAGGTATAGTTTTTAGATTCAATAAATTATTGCTTCACATAAGTTTTAGCAATTAAAAATTAACTGCAATGCTTTCCTATAGAAATCCCCTTCTGTATCGAAGTGAATATTCAAGTGTTGCTTGCATTCATTCAACAGTTTGCAAAGACGTGGTACAGTGGAGTTGGCACCAAGAACAGTTCTACGGAACGGCACGGACATTGGACTGATGTAACTACGGAGATAGTGTACGGGCAATCGAAAATGAAATTTAGCAAGAAGCTGAGAACAGTCCATTCTGTTCCTAAACAACTTGTATAAGAACATTAAATCTATTAATTATCATTAAATCTATTATTTTTCATAAGAATCTCTATCGGATTACAACGAATATTTGAAAAAAAAAAAGTGTCATATTGTCCAGCCGTTCTTGAGTTACGTACTTAGCAAAACATTTAGCAATCTCTATCGGATTACAACGAATATTTGAAAAAAAAAATGTCAAATTGTCCAGCCGTTCTTGAGTTACGTACTTAGCAAAACATTTAGCAATCTCTATCGGATTACAACGAATATTTGAAAAAAAAAATGTCAAATTGTCCAGCCGTTCTTGAGTTACGTACTTAGCAAAACATTTAGCAATCTCTATCGGATTACAACGAATATTTGAAAAAAAAAATGTCAAATTGTCCAGCCGTTCTTGAGTTACGTACTTAGCAAAACATTTAGCAATCTCTATCGGATTACAACGAATATTTGAAAAAAAAAATGTCAAATTGTCCAGCCGTTCTTGAGTTACGTACTTAGCAAAACATTTAGCAATCTCTATCGGATTACAACGAATATTTGAAAAAAAAAATGTCAAATTGTCCAGCCGTTCTTGAGTTACGTACTTAGCAAAACATTTAGCAATCTCTATCGGATTACAACGAATATTTGAAAAAAAAAATGTCAAATTGTCCAGCCGTTCTTGAGTTACGTACTTAGCAAAACATTTAGCAATCTCTATCGGATTACAACGAATATTTGAAAAAAAAAATGTCAAATTGTCCAGCCGTTCTTGAGTTACGTACTTAGCAAAACATTTAGCAATCTCTATCGGATTACAACGAATATTTGAAAAAAAAAAAAAGGTCAAATTGTCCAGCCGTTCTTGAGGTACGTACTTAGCAAAACATTTAGCAATTCATTTATTCATTTATATCTATAGATAAATAATGAATATTAACTATATTATTTTTTTTTATTTTTAGGATCTAGCCAAAAATAAGTACAGGTTTTTTCTTATTTATGGTAGTCTGTCCAATACTTGCATGGAAAAAATGTACATACATTTTGAATATATTTATTTGGGTCGATAAACTATACCCGCTTACAAAAGATACGGTTAATTCAAGTTTATTTATTCGTCAATACATTCATGAAAAGTTGTTTATTACTTTAAGAATTTCTTTTGATCAAAGATAATCAAGAAAGCAAGTGTAAACATTCCAAATTGCGCTTTTCACAACTAAGGTTTATTTCAAAAGCAGCATTCAGCAGGTAAGTATATACATATATCTTAGATTTTATAAACAGTGTCTCCATACAAATGCTTCGAGAAAAACGGGTCAACTTTTTCATACAATTTTGCGTGAAAAAATAGTTATGAGTGACTCCTTTATAACTTCTATATTTATTTTGTCTTATAATTTCTACATCTTTTTAATACGTAAACACTCATTTTATTTATTTAATAATACGTTAAGATGCATTTTATGCATAAATATATTTATACTGATAAAAAAAAACGAGGGATTGTTAGTAATGGGGTGTAATGACCTCATTGAATCGAATAAGATTACGAGAAATTTAATGCATAACTCCATTTCATTGCTCGCTGTACGTTTTTTTTTTTTATTTTAATATGACATCTGGAATCAACAGCTTATATCTAAAAGAAATAAAAATATATTTACACAATATATTAGCCAATTACAGATTTCCAATTTGTATACCAGACAATATTATGCTTATTTTGGAGAGTAGGTTAAAATAAATAGCAAAAAAAAAATATAAAAAGAAAATCAACGAAGATACTTATTTAAAACGTCGCATCACTGGAAGTTCAGCAAAATTTAATGTAAAAGTGTGTGTCATTTGTGTGTGTAGAGTTGCGTAAATGTGGTGTACAAAAAAACAAAAGGTTATGTGGTGTAAAAAAAGTGTATTGTGCACGTATTGTTTTGTATAAAGGAAGGGTTATATGCAGCTTATTTTTATAGCTTTAACAAATCATTATAATTTTCTTAATTATATATATTTCATTTCTGTGTTGTAAATAATACACACCTGCGCATTCATACAATTAAAATAAAAAAAAATAACATACATGATTAATAAATTGACTCGAAATGAAGAAGATATTCATTAAACTGGATACAAAAAAAAATATTGAAAATCATATCGACAGACTACACACCGGAATTGACGAAATCGCGTGTGTTCTTCAAAAATTTTTTTTAGTGACTGCCGTTTCTCTATATGTTTGGAGTTTTTTTTTATACACCTTAGAATAGCAAACAAGCTGATGGCCCACCTGATGAAAAATGGTAACCGTCGCTTGTAGACATGAGCAGTACCATGGATACAACAGAGTATATTGTTTCGCCCATGATACCCCCCATGCGTTGCCATTTCTGAGGACTCGGGTGTTATTCCTCTGTACTCAGTAAATTCACGCCATATCCCACCCTTCAACCCGAAACACAGCCATGCAAACACAACTGCTTTACGGTTGAAACAAGAATGGGATAGAGGTACCCAAGCAAACGACTTTTGTCTCCCTCTGTCAAGTCAATTACACATACTACACGCGCATGTACGCATGTCTATACTACGCGCAATAGTAAATTTGTAGTTTGTTTACTTGGTTTGGTTTTAAGTTGTTGTTTTCATTTGATGACAGGATCGTCATTTATAAATCGATTTGGTTCTTTTATTATCTGAAAAGGTATACCTATCTAATCTAATCTAATCTTAAATTATGTGACGATCAGTTGATAATGTAAAAGAGAATAAACTTACTCACTTTCATATTTTTATGAGATAATAAGGAAAAATGTAATAACGGCTTTATAAATTGACCGATGATTTGACACCTTTTCCTGTCCCGTGGGTATAGTAAGAGGCCGGCCGGCCGGCAGTACACCTGCAATGCCTTTGGTGTTGTGGGTGATCATGGGCGTCGGTAGTCACTTACCATCAGGTGAGCCGCATGCTCGTTTGCCCCCTGTGTTGTAAAAAAAAGCGACAAAGGAAATTTAATGGTCGCGGGATGGGCAGCAGTGTTCCTCTTAAAACATCACCAAAGCCTAACTGCGGTTGCCAACCTGCCTGTCAAGCGTGGCGACTATTAGCATAACCCCTTCCCACCTCATATGGAGTAGACCTATGTCCAGCAGTGTACAATTACCGGCTGATATTGTATGTTATTGATACTTACATAATAATATTTGTTACAGAAGGCGAACTTAATGCCTAATCATTTTCTCCCAATTAATCTTCGGAAAAACAGAAAAGTAATTATGTGGTAAAAATATTGTTATTACCTGTCCTCGGGACCTAATTATGTTGTCGGGACTTATATGGCTAAATATTGTATATACATATATATGTCATTATATCGACATTGTATGTCATAACACGTGTGAGGATGGGATTGTTATTAATGCGGACTATCAAACTCATTACTAGCCTATTACTGTCAGGTCGACCTCCACGTGGTTCCCCCTGAAAACCATTATGCTGAAATCCAGGCTTATTCATCACGATAGGTTAACTGATATACGCTTACCAATCATTTCCCCTCGGGGGTAAGCGGATTACCAGTCCCATTGCCAGGGGGGAAAGGGATTGTTAGCAATGGAGTTTGACAGCCCCATTGCTAGCAATATGCCTTATTAGGACGACCATCACGTGGTTCTCCCTGGAAACCATCGTGAACAATTCTTGTTGAATTCGTCACGATGGGCTAACTTGACCTACTTCATCCTCACCTATCACCCTTCACTGGTGCCGCACCGGTGTATACCGATAGCGCGGGTGGGGTTACCATTCCATTATCATTCATTTAAAAAAAGTCCCATTGCCAACAATATACCTTGTCAGGTCGACATCCACACGGTCCCCTGGAAACCATCGTTCTGGATTCCAGGGGTATTCATTACGATAAGCTAACTGACTTGCCCCCTCATTCTCACCTGTCATCCTTCACTGGTAATCCGCAACCGTTTACTGTTAGCGCAGGCGGTGTTACCATTCCATTATATTCGATAAAAAAAAAAAAAAAACAGGAAGCATTCATTATGCTTTACTAAATAAATAGCATTACTAATACAAAAAATATATGTATTTATGTTATGAAAATATATCTAGTATAAAACGCTACTATTAGCTATTAAGGCACGACTCACTTGGGCTGCGGTACAGTTCTACAGAGTTAATTTACTAATCAGATTATTACTTAAAAACGTAAATTTAGTGGTATGATACTTCAATTCTTCTCCAATTGTTGTTATTTCAGTTACTTCATCTGTAGGTGGCTCTGAAACAAATAATTATATATATTCTATATATCTATCTTGACATAAAATCGGGATTCGGAAGTATTTTGTATTTTTTTTATATAACTTAAAATGGTAAATAAGCTGACGGCCCACCTGATGCAAAGTGGTAACCGTTGCCTATAGACATGAGCAGTACCATGGACATAACAGAGTATACTGTTTCGCCCATGATACCCTCCATGCGTTGCCATTCCTGAGGACTCAGGTGTTATTCCTCTGTACCCTGTAAATTCACGCCATATCCCACCCTTCAAACCGAAACACAGCCATGCAAACACAACTGCTTCACGGTGAAACACGAATGGGACAGAGGTACCCAAGCAAACGACTTTTGTACAAAGTCTCCCTCTTGTATAAGCAAGATGTCGAATCACATTTCTAAGTCTCATAACATAATACAAATATATATTTAGAATCGGATCGTTTTTAGAGTTTAGTCAAACTGCTTAGGAGTTGCGGTACACTTAGACTACTATAGTTATTGTTTACTACACTGTTAAATTATACTGTAAAGTATACATATAAGGAACAAACATTAGATACCGATACTTGACGGTATATTCCGAATGAAAACTCGTTCGTACGAGATCCATTCTGTCTCGACGTGCCCATTAGATGACCGAATAGTACGAAAGAATTCTTTAGACTGTGCCTATTATCAGGTATGCAGAAGATTAGTTTAAGGTGATATACAAAAATTTGGCTTCTTTTACAACGGTGTCAAATCTCTATCACCTAGTGATTCACACATTTGCCACCAATCAATGAAATGTAATTTTGTTTTTTTGCTACTGGCAATCTGTATAAATCAGATATTCTATATGATGCCTAGGCAGTTGTTAAAATATTACTAATAATGATAATGATGGTGTAATTACCCAAATTCTGCCAAACTGAAGGTGGGAAAACTGGTTGCTGTGAGGACACGTAGGTAAGTTTACAATCCCGAATCAGACCTTGATCTGAATTTTCCTTCCGATTAATTACAGTACGATACCAATATGCTGGTTTCCTGTAAATAGAAAAAAAGTAAAAGCCTTACATCATAATTTATATTTGCATCTAATCTTCTGGTAAAAATACAACAAATGTAATTAACTCGAGGGGTAAAGCTTTGATTGCTTCCTGCTTTTGTAATAGAAAATGTAGATACAAAGCACTGATTATATTAAATAATATCTGAGATTAAAGTATATTTGAAATACATATTCTGGGGAATTTTAAACAGAACTACTGGTAACACTGAAAGAGACAGTGTATCGTTGTTTTAAAAAATATAATACATAAGTCAACAGTAAGGCAGTCATATGGTTTACAATATTAAAGCGGTTACAGTGATCATTTAAATTTAAAGTTATATTGCTAGCTATGAGGACTAAGCGCTCCGACCATTGTTTACTAAACCAAATTGCATAGAAAACTGTTATGTACTCACTTTAAATGATCCTGCACTATATTGTTTGCTATTGGCATGCGTATCTTCTGAACAGGGTCGCTCAACACTTGTCCAACTGTCTTGATGGGCGACCGCTCAGAGACGTAGTGTTCCAACAAGCGTGTCGCTATTGGCTTTAGATTTGCTGTAACACATATAAGAACAGCATAAGACATATTCATCGTCATATTAGCTGTTAACTGTCCATTGCTGAACTTAGGCCTCCTTCTATTGGGGGGTTTTGCCAGTAGTTGCCACGTTTAGCAGGTGGGTTAGCAAACGCTGTTTAGGTTTGATAATGTTTTAAGAGAGACGCTATTGTCCTTCTCTCGGCCTCCCTTAGTCGCCTCTTACGACACTTACGGGAAAAGAAGGGGTGGCCTATTCTATGCCGGAACTACACAGGAAATCTACAATAATATTAAAGAGGAAAGATTTAATTATTTTGTTTATAATGGATAAACACAAAAAGTACTTGACCAATTTTAAAAATTATTTCACCTATAGAAAGCTATACTATCAAAGAGAAACATAGGTTATATATTATTTTAAAAAATTCTATCTACCCGTTCGAAGACGGTCCGGATCGCTAGTTATTTACCAGAGGGAGACTTTGTACAAAAGTCGATTGCTTGGGTACCTCTGTCCCATTCGTGTTTCTACCGTGAAGCAGTTGTGTTTGCATGGCTGTGTTTCGATTTGAAGGATGGGATATGGCGTGAATTTACTGGATACAGAGGAATAACACCTGAGTCCTCAGGAATGGCAACGCATGGGGGGTATCATGGGCGAAACAGTATGTCTATAGGCGACGGTTACCACTTTCCATCAAGTGGGCCATCAGCTTGTTTGCCATTCTAAGTTGTATAAAAAAAAAGTTATTATATGAAGACACTTACTAAAGTCAGCTCTCAAACAGGTTTCAGCGCGATATAAGTGCTCTAAACAGACGTGGACTTGAGCGAATTTCATCAATAGATTCTTCCATGGGCTAATATCTATCTCATCAGCTATTATAGGTACCTGGAATGTAAATTTATTTTAAACAGTTTTTTTTTTTATAGTTTAACAACAGAGTAATCATTTTAAAAAGCCTGATTAGACAAAATTAAAATTCTACTAGCTTTTCCCCGCAATGTCATCTTTATGACTGGAATTACCAGGGATACCACGAATATTAGGGGGGAAAGGGATTATTAGTAATATGAACCTAATAGCTCCATTGCTAGGAATATAATACCCCATCAGATCGATCTCCATGGGATTTCTTCTGGGAACTATTGTGATTCTTGTGACATTTGTCAAGATAGGCGAACTGACCTGTTTTCATCATCACCTATCATTCTTCACTAGTACCCCGTCAGTGTGCACCAATAGCGCAAGCGGGGTTACCATTTCTAAATTATATATTTAAAAAAAAGCAGTGGTATCCAAGCATATTCTGTGTTGACAACCCAACACAGATCAAAATTAATTGTAACGGCAATAGGCAATGCCCTCTCTCTCTCTCTTTCTTCTTACAAAAAATCTGAACTGGTTGGACGAGTCTTATATTGTAATTATTATTTTGGGAACAATAAACTCTTAAAAATCATTTTGTGATCGGTTTTACAACAGACATACCGAAAACGCACATTTTGTTTAGAATGCTAGTTATGGCTATAGGTGAATACCATCGTTCAATAGTTTATTTGTAACCTACCTCATTCGCATCCTTCTTCTCGGCGACAAGTCCGTGTTTCTTCAATGATGCGAAGTCATCAACAGTGAGATCATTAGTGTCATCGACGTAGAACGATTCACAATCGAGCCTAATCGAGTGTTCCGCTGTTGATATATTATCGAATGGGTTCAGGGTAAAATCTCCGCCCATCGTCATATCTTGTATCGTTTGGTTGATCTGTTCTATGGACTCATGAGATCTGGGAAAATATGAGAAAATTTTTTTAATATATTAACGCCATCTAGTTTCAAACTAAGTAGATATTATTATTTTTTTTTTGATGGGTGATAATGGTTTGGTAACCCCGTCTGTGCTATTGATATACACTGGCGGGGTACCAGTGAGGGATGACAGATGAATATGAAAGTAGGTCAGTTGGCCCATCCTCATGAATTAAACTAGAATTAGTCACGATGGTTTCCAGGGGGAACCACGTGGAGGTGGATATGACAGGGTATATTGCTAGTAATAGGGCTATTTGACTCCATTACTAACACTCCCTTTCCCCCCAGTAGATATTATTTTAGGCGTACTAGACAATTTACATACATTTTTTAAATAGGTATTTATTTATAACACATTAAAGATGCTTAGGCCAATACGAAAAAAAGATATACGGTCGACTGGTAGATAACGCCATATGGTGTTAAGTCCGCCATTTACACTTTCTTGCTGTAATAAAGTTTAATAAATAAATAAATATACTCATGAACACAAAGGTTTGTATTATACGGGGAGTAAACCCATAAACATTGGAGGATAGGAACAATTCAGGATTTTTTTTTTTAATTCCTGAGGACTCAGATGTTATTCCTCTGTACCCTGTAAATTCACGCCAACACGTTACATATACAGGTACATAACATGCAGCACTCCGCAGAGGTATGCAAATGTTGAACTGTATTTAGTCTACATTATATTACAATTATAAAGTCCAAACATTTACCAAATTACAATATTCTTTATGTCAAATTATCATATAAAATTATGGTTTATATTTTAAGTAATTTTTAATACATTACATCTATATCATCTATCAATATATTTCTGTTTACTCCTATTTCTGTTAGCAAATGGTAGTGTTTATGGCTTTGTTTGTTCCAGATTGAATGGTGGAATAGGGCGTGACATTACTAGATACGAATAGTTCTTAGAAATTCCTAGATGAAGATAAAAATACTGTCTTTACCTGGCATCAGTCGTCCAAATCCCAGCAATGTAGAAGGAATGTTCTAGAAGGGACATAACCCTTGTATATTCCCACATAGTTTTCTCTGTGCCCACCTGAGCCACTAAGGACAACGCTTGCGGGGAACTCGAGCGGAGATTCTTCAGTACTTTAGCGGTTTGGGAGTGACCACGAGATAGCTTCAGTACCAATTTTGATAAATAGGTTTTATTGTTAGCATCAATCTGCAAAGATAGAAATAAGGATGGTAGATTTTTTTCTGGACTTTTAACATAGTTATGTAAACAGTGGTTTGACTTTGGGGAAGGAGTCAGATGGAGACTTAGTACAAAAGTCGATTGCTTGGGTACCTCTGTCCCATTCGTGTTTTAACCGTGAAACAGTTGTGTTTGCATGGCTGTGTTTCGGTTTGAAGGGTGGGATATGGCGTGAATTTACTGGGTACAGAGGAATAACACCTAAGTTCTCAGGAATGGCAACGCATGGGGGGTGTCATGAGCGAAACAGTATACTCTGTTATGTCCATGGTACTGCTCATGTCTATAGGCGACGGTTACCACCAGGTGGACCGTCAGCTTGTTTGCCATTCTAAGTTGTATATATAAAAAAAAAGTTTTTACATGCGACCTCGTTCGCTTGACTGGGATATGTTTTCTACCCATATGCTAAATTTCATAGTAATCGGTTAAGCTGCAAAGGCGCTATAAGGTAACAAACAAATTCACTTTTTCATTTATAGTATTAGTAATCAATTACTATGAAATTTAGTATACACGCACGTTATGGGTTGGAGAAGGATATAGGCTAACTTTTATCCTTCCAACCAGATAGTTTTTACGTGGTTCCCCTTAGAAACCATTGCGCTATTTTCCATGTATATTCATCACGATGTGCTTTTGTCTTCAGCCATCATCTCTCACTGGTGCCCCGGCAGTATAAAGTATAAACCGTTAGCGCGGCTGGGGTTTACCATTTCATTGTCATACATTAAAAAAAAGGTGTCGTGGTCAGTGAACATATTCCAGTTCAAAAAGCTAGTTTATATTTGTAATTGATTATTCAAAATGTGCTCTAACAGCGAACTAGATGTACTCGACGTAGCCACAGTTTCATAAATATAAGTATAAATATTCTTAAGCCATATTCGTAGTAAAAAATAAAATACTAAAATCGACACTAGTGGTCAAAAGATTTTGACATGTCTCGAATGATTACATGCCAATTTAGAACGTATTTTACTAGACATATTCATTGCATACATAGGTAAATAGTTCTTTCATTACTTACAAATGGTCTAATCTTGCCCGACGAAATAAATTTGAGAGCTTGGATTAGCAGAGTTACTAATTCTTCGGCAGTCTCGCAGTCTGAAACAGCAAAAAAAAAAAAACAGTTAAAAATTGTGTCCATTATAAGAGACAAAGATTAAGAAGGGATTTAATCACAGATAATATAAAATTGCCATCCATGCAACATTATTGTTAATAATTTAAGATTGTGTCCTCAGAAAAACCGACTTCAATTGTGGCAAAATTGGTTATTTTTATTTTAAAACTAAACTACCAAACCGATTTTTATAAAATTCCTTTGGGACAAATCTGTGACTATATTACATAAAAATAAAGAGTTTTTCAAATCGGTTTATAACTGAATACTCCATTTTAGCAGGTACTGAATATAAAATACAATCGAATTGAGAATCTTTTTGAAGCCACTTGGGTTTTAAATTATAATAATTGGTTTTGCCACAATTGAACTAAGTTTTTTTTTTTTTTTTTTATAGAAAACAATTTAATTATTACGGAAATATAATCTATTCTACCTTTTGCGTTAGGAGTTAAAACAAACAATAAGCTTTTAAATTAATTAAAGTTATTAAGCTGTTTCAGAAATTAACAAAAACGAGTATCTTGAGACAGTATTTTTATATATTAAGGTAATAACATACTTACCTCTTAAAATATCCCACAATTTGTACGTAAAATCGTTACTCGATCCTTCAGCGTTCATAGCCGAGAGACATTGTCGCAAACTGCTGGTGTCTTCGGTGACGCACGTGCATCCACCCGCAGGGCATTCCGCGGTATATGCATATGTCTCGGTCTCGTTGAGGAGCTCACTTAACCGCTTAGTATTGTTTGGTTTTTTCATTCCAACAGTGTAGTTCCTGGATATAAAAATAATTACATAAAATTTAAGAAAATATGAATAATTAATATAAATAATTTGATTACTAACACCATATTAAAAACCTTGAAGCCCAGTAGCCTCTGCCTGATTGCATCATTTAGGTTAAAAAAAAAAATACAAAAATAGAAAAATATTAACAGTGTACATATTTTAGTTATGACAAATTAATGCTTCAATAGAATTTAAAAAACATAAACAAATAATTAACATAGAGACAGTCTACTTTTATATCTCCATGAGCTTTTAATCATGAGCCACAATGTATCCACAACACTTGATCTCATACAACCATCTTTTATATTGGCGACCTCTTTTCCTTTTAGTTCTGTAATGAGGAATCCAATCTGTTACAGTATTGGTCCATTTAGTGCTACCTCTTAACATATGACCTGCTCATTTTCACTTCAGTGTTTTGGAGTTAGTTGTAATATGGTGAAATTATATATATTTTTTTATACAACTTAGAATGACAAACAAGCTGACGGCCCACATGATGGAAAGTGGTAACCGTCGCCTATAGACATGAGCAGTACCATGGACCCTGATACTCCCCATGTGTTGCCATTCCAGAGGATTTAAGTGTCATTCCTTCGTACCCAATAAATTCACGCCATATCCCACCCTTCAAACAGAAACACATATGCATAATGAATCACAAATAAATGAGAATAATGTTTTGTATTCTTACCTTACAACAGCAGTTTCTAAGTTGACTGAAGAAGATCCTGCAGCTGTCATATCAACTAGTAATTGATTTATATTGTGCAAAGAACACACCGATTTCCATATAGCATTACATGGGCTTGCCAGGTGTCCTACTATTACTTCTTGTTCCTGAAAATGTGTTGAGTATATAAATTATGGCCCAAAATAAGAAATCACAAATTGTAATACCAATGATAATAACTATTAAGTGACTATTTTGTATGAAAAATGCAATAAGTTAATTTAATTTTATATTTATATTTTTATGAACAAAATTTTCGGCTTGTAAATTCAACTCGCATCTCACCAGTTTTATTTTTTTCTCTGCACACAAAAGGAACTTCAATTATGTGTAAACATACTGATGAACAACCAGACTAATAGTATAGGTAAAGTAGTTTAAAAATAATATAGAATTAGCTGAATTCTATACTTGACAAAATGTAGACATACTGAGTGTTACATTCACCATAATGGTAACACAATATGTCTGGGATGGGAAAGGGATTGTTAGCAATGGAGTTTGACAGCCCCATTGCTAGCAAAATGCCTTATTAGGTAGGCCTCCACATGGTTCCTGCTGGAAACCATCATGAACATTGTGACGAATTCTTGTTGAATTCGTCACAATAGGCTAATTGACCTACTTCATCCTCACCTATCATCCTTCACTGGTGCCCCCCTGGTGTACACTGATAACGCGGGTGCAGTTACCATTCCATTATCATCCATTAAAAAAAAATATCTCTGATTAATTAGGGATTATGGTTGACTATACATTTTATTATATATTTTTTTACCTTTACAGAAATGTTTATACTTGCCTATATCTGTAGGTAAAAGTGTTCCTGACGACTTGATACAACAAACCTAACATTCTAATATTTCCACCCAGGTTTACTGAAGATTCAATAAAAATTAAAATAAAAAATAAATTATACTTACAAAATTAACTTTACAGTTTATGAATGGTGTCACCAAAGTTTTCCCTTGCCATTCGCAGTGTAATTCTGTTAATCCACCATGAGGTGCATTCAATAGCTCATCTGTAGTATGAGAGCCATATGAAATGCCAGACAGTAGGTATTTACAATCTACTGTAACAGTAACCTATTGAAAAAAAAAAGAAACAATAAATCTCAAACCATAAACATAACAACAACAATGGCAAACTAATGGCAATGGATATGCCAGGAGGGGGGGGGGGGGGGGGAAATGATCTATAGGATAAAATTAATACATTTATTATAATTTTAATTCACCAATACTTGAACAAAATATTTCTGATCATTTTATAATATTACATTTACAAAGATAAATATTTAAAGTGTATTTAGTGAAAAATGTGCAATTTTGTGTTTTTTTTTTCTAATTTATATTATATCCAGGTACAGCACACTTAATTATAACTACATTTATCTAAAACTAATTCTACTTCAAAATATAAAAATAATTACTAATTATTTTGTTCACACTCATTCCTAATCAGCTTCGAGCTTGTTGTATAGGTGAGTAGCCTATTAGTCTATCTTGTTCTAATATACATGTTATTATGTTTTCTCTCTTTTACACTACTGATCCATATACTTTATAATGTAAGGTCTAAATAAATTGTTACTGGTATAACAGATTCATTTCAAAATTCACAACATAAATTTGGCTACTGGCGAGGAATATTATATTTATACTTTTTTAAAAAAACATACCAAATCAGTATTTATTCTTTCTTGTGCTGCATATTGCTCAACCAGCTTATCAAGATCCACTTCTTCTAAAGTCATAGAACCTTCATATGTAACAATGCCTCTGGCAAAATGGTGGTCATCAGATTGTACAGTGAGGAGTAGAGGTTTCCCCTCATCAGATGGATTGGTCAGTATCCACATTGGTATGGCATCTTCTGTTGACACTGTGGTAAGACTTTTATTGTACAGATTTGCAATGTCTCTGAAATTAATATATATATAAAAAAAAAAACTGTTCAGTTACTTTTTTCTTCAGCTGACAGAGATTTGTATATAATAAGGATTATAACAAACCTGGCTTTATTAATAGCAACTGGAAGGTGGCTAGCTTCCTCCTTAGTCCATAGCTGTGGTTCATCAGTTATAAGGGTGTCATCTAATATTGTGTGCAAGCTAAGATCCAGCTTGAGAGGGGACCCAGTTAGTTCCAATTCCTCTATATAAACATTAAAAACATTTGATAGTACTTAATTAGTATCTCGTATATAGTAAGGAGATATCTGAAGATGTGTAGTCTTATTATTAAAAAATATTTTGCCCAATACATCCAGTTGTGCATTTTAAAAAGGTATATATCATCTATAATTTGACGTGAACAAACTTATTGTTATGATAAAAATAAAATCAATACCATTCTTGTATTTGTATTAAATATACATTAGCTGTACAGCTACTATGCTTGTCTACTGGAAGACTTTGTTAACATACTTTTTTAATACTTAAAAAAAATACTTGCTTCTTTGTATAATAGGGATCTTAATGCAATTATTTAATTGTATTTAAAATATTAGGCATTAATTAAATTGATAATTTTGAAATAGGAACAGTAAAAAGTTTATAAATATTTTTCAACTCATTACCTGCTTCGCATTTGTTATCTTTTTCAAATTTGCTATCTATTGTGTTAGTAGCCAGCTTATTCTGAAAAAATTGTTAAAAAATAATAATTCTTATAAATAATAATTTAAAATAACTAATAGATAGTTAAATTTGGAAGCGCACCTTCACAAACACCATAACAATTTCTCTACTATTTTTTGTATACATTTCTACATAGCTTGGACAAAATTGTTTTTCTATTGTAAGTTTAGGATAACTCTCTAATACTGGCTGCAATAAATTGTCCATTGTAAAATTAAAACTTTATGAGGGAATAAATTTTGATTAAAGATACGTTTGAATTTTAAAAACAAAACGGGAAGTCAACAACATGATAAATACCGATGTCAAGAACGTCAATTGGATTTTCATGTCACATCAAGTAAAATATATTTATATGATTCTGTGTAACCATCGTGATACATTTATATGACATCCATGTACCCAGTGTATTGTATTATATTAATTCTGATATTTTAAACCAAAGATCATTACAAATAGTAGCATAATACTGTGATTATTTATTTATTTTAATTGATTAACTTCTAGTAGTTGCATAGATTATTTTCTAGTTTAAGGAATAAGATTAGTGCCGACAATTAAACCGCTATATAAATGTCACAATTGACAACTAATGTCAGTCATGACAGCATCTGATGTTTATTATCTAAGAACAAGTTATTACTATGCATAGATAACAATTATACTTGACAACGTAGTACCGTGATTACTTGCTCTGTGGTAGTACCTTTTTTTTTAATTAATGATATATTTTTTTGAGGGATGATAGGTGAAGATGAAAGCTAGTCAGTTATTCCATTGTGACAAATTCCACTAGAATTAACAATGATAGTTTCCAGGGGGGACCACGTGGAGGTCGACCTGACAGGATATGCAATATGACTGCTAGTCCGCATTATTAACAAAAATATGTCCAATGTTCGGATTTGCTACATAAATAAAATATTTATATCATTAGGATATACAAGTAGGTATAATTACGAATAGGTAGGTAAATTTAATAAAAATTCACCGTACAGCATCTTTTGTTCTTTCTCTTCGGGTGTTCTGTCGCCCGTATCAAATAACGAGGGCGGGATACCCAGTTCAATCAAGTGTACCAAATTAGAACATAAAAAATTGGTCTTTTTTGTTGTTATCTATTAAGAAAAGCTCGCAAGAAACTCAACAGTTACTCATTTTAAATTTCTGTTAACAATATACACATATTTATTTTAACTACTATGTCTAAAATTACATGGTCATTAAAAAACCCGTGCATGATCAACTAACACCATATACGCTTGTCATTCAAGTAATCGTTTAACGTGTAATAAGTTTTGTTAAATAAAATTGATAGATACTCTTTATTGTTTCCTCCAAAAGATTACAATAGTAAACATATTATAAATATAAATAATTATAAGAAATAATCACAATGAGAAAACAATTGGCGACCTTTTCGTTAAAAGCAATCTCTTCCAGGCAACCTTTGGATGGAGGAAACAATTTAGTAGGAAGCATGATGAAAAATTCTGTTAGTTCTAAATATGGAGATGTGATACATGTAATAATATAAATATATGTCCCTACTCATTATTATATCATAAGTGTTTTTAAAAACAGTTTTAAATTTATTAAAAGACAGATCCAAAATATCATTCGGTATCTTGTTATAACATTTAAAGACCTATTAACTTTATCTAAACGATATTTTGGAATAAGAAGTTTGAATTTGTATCTAGTGTTAAGATGATTAAGATCGCTGTTTTTAAGAAACAGCTGAAGATTCCTGCGTATATACGAAATGTTTGCGTATATGTATAGTGAAGAATACTTGCTTCTTTAAAATTTTCTTTGAATGATTCACGATTTCCCATAGAATATACTGCGTGAACAGCATGTTTTTGTAATACAAATATGCTTTGGATCTCGGCTACTTTACCCTATAATAATATTCCATAGGACAGTATACTATGAAAGTAACTAAAATAAACTAATCTAGCAATCTCAATATTAGTATACTGTTTAACCTTACGTACAGCATACGCCGCGGAACTTAATTTAGTTGCAAGGTTTTGAATCTGAGGACCCCATTGAATTTTATTGTTAAGTGTGATTCCAAGAAAGACAGTAGAGTCTAAAAATTAAGAGGTTCATTATTTAATTTTACAGAAAGATTGAAATCGTGATTTTTAGAAAGCTAAAATTTTACGCATGAACTAATTTTTTTTGCATTCAACATTAGATTATTATTTGTAAATTAATGCATGAGACGAAGCAAGGCATTATTTACATCATCATAATGTATAAGATTGATAGATTGCTATCAATCTTCAAAATTTAAGAAGTATCATCTGTAAACAACTCTATGCCACATCTATCTTGCATACCAAAGCGGGATCATTTATATAAACTAATAATATGAGTGGCCCAAGAATAGATCCTTGAGATACACCCATTCGCACAAGTGACCCATTAGATATAACACTATTTACTTCAATTTTTTAAATTCTGTTTGATAATTAAGACTTGACTTGAAATGTAAAGCATTTTAAACTATAAAACACCAGTTTTTCAGCAATGTACTATGGTCCATTTTATTTTCCCAGACAGCAAAAATATGTCTTAGTAACTCCATACCTGCATCCGTATTCCAAATCCAAATTGACTATTATAAATTAATTAATTTAAATTATAATAAATAACTAATTGATTCAACATAATTTTTTCAAAGATTTCACTTAGTGCGGGAAGAATGAAAATAGGCCTTTAATTTACTGGATCAGCTTGAATTCCATTTAAAAAAAATGGTATTTAATTATATTCACTAAATTTAATTATATTAGGAAACTTACCATCATCTATGCACTTATTAAAAATAAAAGTAATCGACGGTGCAATAGTTTTAATATAATACTACTAAGTATTTTAATAGATATAACCCATAGATACTCAGTTTTTTTATTATTAAGTGATTTAAATAATTTTATTATATCTATCGGAGTTATATAATTAAAACTAAATACAGTTAATGGCTTGCTAACATTTTCTGTTAGAGGTTTCAGTCGCAGATGCGGAAGAGTTTAAAAATTGAGTTATTGCAAATGGCATATTTGTGGAATGTCAGTATTAATTAATTGATTATTAATATTTAAAACAATGTTATTATCATGAGTCTTTACTTTTTCGATTTCGCTGTTAATTATCTTCCAAGTGGCTTTAATTTTATTCTCAGAATTATTAATTATTTTACTTAAGCAGAGGGATTTATCTGTCTTGCAAACTTGTTTAAACGTTTTAGAAAAAGATTTCACATACACCTGTTATATTGAGCTTCTTGTGTATAATTTTACAGAGTGAGTTAGGGAGCGTAGAATAAGTAAAATAGACAACCTAAAACTGTTACAGAAATAGCAGGAGTTACCGGCCATCGATTGGTCTTCTTCCTTTCAACTATACTACATAAATTTTCCTATATTTTGCATTTTGCTGTGTTTTAAATCTGGACTCAATAACTACTTAACCCACATAAAGAATTGCTGGGTCTATAAACATGAAATTTGACAACAATTATAGAGCATTAAGAAAGGTTTTTCTTTATTCTGTGGGGATGAGATATAAAGGAAAATAAAAGGTCATCCGTGATCCGCGCTGTTAATTTGAAAGTCGAATTTGATTCTTTATTAATATTTTCTTATATCTTGGCATTTCTTTTGGACCTCGGTAACCCCTTGGATATAAGGCCCCCTCTAAGACCGTTACTGCTTAAAAGGACGCTAATAATTTTAATTTTAAATTCGTAACTTCCACTAAGTATTGTGGGCGAATATCTAATCGCTGAATGTACATACCTTAATCTTTATTGGTCGGATTCACCTTCCTGTTTAATTAATCGAAGATCCGATTAAATGGGCTGTTCTCAAAAAGGGTATCAATGCGTAACAATCGATTCGAGGCGTAACTATCGAGGTTAAAAGACCACTTCATGACTGGATATTGGAAAAATAAAAACGGGCGTGGGCATGCTGCATTATATAGGAAATAAGAATGAATACGTTGAAGGAGTGGATTTTTATGATTCGCAGTTTATGTAGACTTAAACGATTGTATTGAAATGGTAATATGTATTACTGAAAATTTATTATTTGTTAAGTAGGTATATACTCGTATATATATTTTATTTCTAAATCAGTACTTAGCTCCCGTACAGAATACTGTCACTGTTTTTTTCACATAACTAAGAATGACAAGCAAGCTGAAGATTTAACTGTAAGAAAGTTTTCTTTAGAAGATAATACCTCTGGTATTGCAGGTGTTCATAGAACCACTTACCATCAGAAATGCTTGTTTGCCAAAAAAAAAAAAAAAGTGATAAATTTATAAATGCTGCAATAAAGTGTAAAAAAATAAAATAAATAATGCGGTGACTACATCTGTCTACATAAACGTATAAAAATATCTAAGAAAAGTATATATTTCAGACTTCATTGTCATGTATAACATATTAGGAATAGGAGCCTCAGTCTCGTTTATCTATCATAAAACATTCTCCATCAGGGGCTAGGTACGTTTTGGTTTCAGCAGTTTGTATTTGAAGAATTAGTTCTATTTATGAAACTGAATTACCTAATAGGGTACAGTGATTTGAGATTTTTGTTACTGTATCTCTCGACTTTACCCGCATAAATCAGTATATAAAATATCCTATGCTCTTAGTGCCAAATTTTATTTAAATCCGTTCACTACTCTTCGTTTCACTAGTTATACTCGTACATAGATGACAATAATAGTAGTTACTGAATAAAACATTTAAAGGAATTGAGCGTACAAATTTAATGCTTTTTATTTTTAAACGACTACCTTTGACATTTTAAAATTGGCAATTGGCAGTGTTACAAATATATATATATATATATCGTCACAAAATTGGTAAGTGTATCACCATGAATATTTATCTTGTGACGATCTGTAATTTTTCGCCCAACAAAGTTTTGTTACACCTAAATATAAAATGAAGTAGGCAGATACAAAAATGCTAATTATTTGCAACTTTATTGTGACCTGTTAAGGTTGCTTTATGTTATTAAGATTGTGCCGAACTTAGCTAAGGATGCGAAACCTTTATTTTTTATTTTAGTGTAACTGACTGATGAATGAAGTGGATCCTTTTAGTTTGATTGGTTTGATTAGTACTCATACGATTTTATTGTTAGCCTTTCAAAGTTAATTTCGAACGTGCATGTAAATCTGATGTAGATACTCCTATGTTTACTTATAAGTATTTATTGTTTGTAATACAAGTTATATATGTATGTATTACTATATTATAT